GTATGTCTTGGACACTCGGGTGAAGAGAGGGGCGGAGCTGTCAACTGATCACCACCTGGTGGTGAGCTGGATCCGATGGCGGGGGAGGAATCTGGACAGACTCGGCAGACCCAAACGTATTGTGAGGGTCTGTTGGGAACGTTTAGCAGAATCTCCTGTCAGAGAGATCTTCAACTCCTGCCTCTGGCAGAGCTTTGACCAGATCCCGGGGGAGGCTGGAGATATTGAGTCCGAGTGGACCATAGTCTCCACCTCCATTGTCGATGTGTCCATTCGGAGCTGTGGCCGTAAGGTCTCCGGTGCCTGTCGTGGTGGCTATCCCCGAACCCAGTGGTGGACACCGGAAGTAAGGGATGCCATCAAGCTGAAGAAGGAGTCCTTTCGAGCCTGGTTGGCTCGTGGGACTATCGGTCGGCCTCGAAGAGATTCTGGCAAACCATCCGGCGCCTCAGGAGGGGGAAGCAGTGCCCTCCCAAAACTGTTTACAGTGGAGGTGGGCAGCTGTTGACCTCAACTGGGGACATTGTCGGACGGTGGAAGGAATACTTCGCAGATCTCCTCAATCCCAGCGCCATGTCTTCCGATGAGGAAGCAGAGGCTGAGGGCTCAGAGGTGAACTCGTCTATCACCCAAGCTGAAGTCACTGAGGTAGTCAAGAAGCTTCTCGGTGGCAAGGCACCAGGGGTGGATGAGATCCGCCCTGAGTAACTTAACATTCAAAATAAATTAATTAATTCAATGTATTGCCCAGTCCTATGAGAAACTGGAGTTAAGGGAGGCAAGTCGTAAACATTTGGTGATTGGTTGAGATTTGTCTGGCTAGACTGAAGTAAATCACATGGTGAAAACTGATCTTACAAGATGAATTCTGACTGCAAGGCTTGTTGTTGCTGTGAGAGAGCACTGATTGATCTCTGGCCTTAGTTTACATTAAAAGACCTCTGTTAAGATATATGCTCCTGTCATATTTTGGAAAAGTAATCACTTATGATTCCAAAGACATTGTGATGTTCTAGCATACTGATCAGGTAATCACAGAAAGGTGACTCATATCAGATGGAGCTGGATAGTTTCTGTATCTTATTTTCCACTTTGGCTCACCCAAATGATGACAGAGTGGGCGAAACTACTTTCCTGAGCCATACACAACAACAACAACATGTTTTTAGGTATTTTTGATGGGTTTTGATCCAAATGGCCAAAGTATTTATTCAAATCTTGATTAAAGACAAGGTCAGCAGGACAAGTGGTACCTGATGCATCTTAAACCAAAGCATCAATACAGCCAGAAAATCAAAGAAAATCTTGATACGAGCGACTAGTGAAACTTAAAAAAAAAAAAAAAAGATTAATTCTGCTGTTATTTGACCATGTTGAGTTTTGTGATTGAGCTGTCATCAAAAGGATCTTTCCCACACATCACTAGCGTTCCCTGGTTGCACAACGAGGCTCTACATCATACCCTCTCTTTTCTATCTCATTAGTCTACACACCTTTCTTTTGACGCAGCTGCTGCCTCACCCTGCCTGTCAGCAGCAACTGTCCATCATATAGCTTAGATTTCAGGCCATTAGTGCCACATCAATGACAAACCTGCAGCCAAGCACATTGGTAAGGTAGTGTTTCCTATCTCATGGATCTACAAGAAGCGAATGCTCAGCAGCAACTTATTAAGGCATAGGCAAGGGTTTGCAATGGGGATAAAAGAGTGTGTTTTAACTAAGCAGGAACAGGTTTCTTTTTCTTTTACCAGAAACATAGTCTAGATCTTGGTGTTTTTCTTTTGAGAGTGAAGAAAAGTTTGTATTTCATTCTGTAAATTAGGTGCAGTCACACTAAACCTCGTGACATGTTTTGGTGTTGATCTTTTACAGGTTGTAATTGTTGGAGTCTCAATATATTAGGGCATCTGCCTGTCACTGTAGCATTTTAGGTTGTGCTTGCTATTAGCATTTGGCTTATATTACATATGACATGCCATATTTGGTAGTCCCGCTTTTTCTAATTTATGTATGTCTGTTTCTTTTTTTTTTTGATAAGCTGTGATTTTGTGTGTGTGTGTGTTTTTTTTTTTTATTCCATTTCTGCATTTTTGGTGAGATCTTAGAAGCTTTTGAATATGTTCAGACATTTTCAGTGTTTGCACATTTGATATTAGAAATATGTTGACTTTTTCTGACTGTAAAAAGTGATGACTGTTCTTAAATAGGATGTACCCCACATATTTTATGAGGAAGTGTGGTAGTGAGTATTTGAAATTCATTGTTGGTTTTAGTCCCTGTTTGAGTTTTTTGGACAATAACCAAAAAGTTGAAAATCACTGACTTTATCCTTTACAGTAAATGCCACATAGCAAACTCCAAACAGGCTGTTTATATATGTTTTGGTCAAGAGTGACTTCTGTGTGGCCACTCCACTATAAATGCCTGAGCCTTCCTGCAGGATCTCCCATCTCTGGAGAAAACCTCTGAAGCTCTGTTAGGGCACCAAGTGAGTTCTTGTGGGATAGTGTATATTGACAGTCAAAATGGCTATTTTATTAAATAAAGTTACAAAAAGTGAAGGGGTCTGAATACATTCTGAAGTGACTGAAAGTCCTTCAAGGTTTTATGATCTCACCAGCACAAGCCCTTTTCTTATTTCTGTGAAGTATTATGATCAACTAAACAGGTTTATTGTTTTCCTGGTATTCAATACACAGTGTGCATCTGTGTTTGATTGTCAGCTGGGGTCGTGCAGTGAAGCCACACACAGTCGCTTCTGTTCAGTGATATCAGCTTACAGTGGGAGCCAGATGTGTTTAGTGATGACCTGAAGTGACTGTATATTTGAGAGGAGCAGGGATGAACAGCTTCAGATAGTTGTCAGCAGTCTCAAAGAGGCACTTGTTTACCTTAAGACCTGTACCAGCCTGTAGTCTAGAATCTCACAACTGATAACAATTTAAGGATTCAGTAATTTCACCTTTTAGGTAGGTAGTCATTTGCCAGCTGCTTACAGTATGTCTGTCACTTGTCATTGCTTTTTGTGTCATTTCAGGATTCCCTTCAAGATTGGACAGCCAAAGAAGCAGATTGTCTCTAAAACTGTAAGTTACCTAAATATGTACACTCAACTCACTCATCGCCCAAAAAGACTTGGTGACAAAAATGCAGTCAGATCTATATAGATTTTTTTTTTTAAGTTGTATTGTGACGATTTAGTAGCTGTAGTTAAGCTTCACAAATTCAGTAAAACATGAATAATAGTCTGGATAATGGCATCGGTGTGCCATAGCCAGTAGACCTATTGGATGCCAATTTGTCTGAGCCATTCAAAGGGGCAGAGGTGGTTACCTTGAAGTGACAATGAGTGGGTGTTCTCTTTGCTAGAGAAAACCACTTCCACTGTAATTGGTCTGTGGCCCTGTAGTCACTGTAAGACATGGTTTCCAGCTTCCTGTGCCATCCTAAGCAAAAAGCAGGAAGTGGTTTTGAACCAGCCCATCTAAACAGTCCACTAGTGCTGAGGTGTCAGTTGCCTCCCTTGTTGTTTCGGCCACATTATTTAAATTCGGGAGCCCGCAGAACCACAAGACAGGAACCCACAAATCCTCTGTAACCAGCTTGACATGTTTTAGAGACAAGTTTGAACAAGCTGTCCTAGCCCTTACTAACCCTGGGAACCTGATCTATCCAAGTATTTCACCTGCACAGCTATAGGTCTTGGGCTGTTTATGTGCTCCAAACAGTCCCTGAGAAAGTACAGAAACCAATCATTTTCCAGTATTAGTGAGTGGTCAAACAGAAGCGTATAGGGTACAACAACCTATCTATAGCATATCATCTAGACTATAAAGAAGCAATAGTTGTTGCTGATATGTTTTACAGCTCAAGCCATAAGAATATTTTTTTATCCATTTCCATTTATCTAATCATTCTTCACATAATATAGAAATGTAAACAGATATTTTGTCTCCAGATTAGACCCTGACTTAGTTCCTTGAAGTTGTGTATCCTTAGAAGGGCTCTATTATTTTTGGTGTGTTCATATATCCTGATAAATAATTTTCTGTAGTCAAATAATTCAGATTAATATAAATTGATGAAATCATAGGCGTCATACTTTTTTTTTTTTTTTGTTTTCTTTAGGTTGAAAGAGACTTTGAGCGAGAATATGACAAACTCCAAAAGTAAGTTTGCATTTTTCAACCAAAGGGTATAAGGCAGACAATTAATGACACTTCTATATTTGTTCATGGCTCTTTGAAAAACTCACACTTAATATACTCATCATTGTATAGTGCAGTATTTTGTCCCACATAATTTCCCGATCCCTGCCGTGTTTGGTCACTTTCTTTCTTTTGCAACATTGCACTGTTAAAAGACCTATGTTTGAGCTATGGTGGAATCTGAAATTAGGAATTGGGAGAGAGCGCTTATGTCCATTGGATATGTCCGTGCAAATTCTCAGTCATCCAGGTCGTAGTATGCTGAAAAAACTTAGCAGAAGGCATCTGTACATCTGTTGGATATTTCCTTCAACCTCTGATAAACCTAGATTTAAGTTAGTCTTATGAAGTTTTCCAACAAATGCATTATCTAGTAAATGCTGTCTTGGCTGGGGCTCCCTTGAAAAAGTTTTCTCTAGCCTGAGTGGGATTACCCATGTTTAAATATGTGTTTAAAAAATTAGTGTTCATAAATTCAGAAAAAGCTTAAATGTCCAAGTGTTTCATTAATTTATGGAAGCAGACATTCATGACACTGAAAAGCAAATTTATAAATTGTTGATGGCTGTTATTTACTAGATCATTTTATCAGTGTTTCCATGAAAGGAAAGCTAGAGGGGTTCAGAACACAATCCAAGGCCTGAAAGCTTATGACATCCGGGGCTTTTCTCACCATGAGGGAAATGTTATAGAAATTCCCTGAGGGTCCCACAGAATGAGTGGGCGTATCATTGTCTTTGCAGGTTTTGAGTAGTCGAGGGCCCTTTATAAGGAAGGTGTGGTGCCAGTAGACCTTATAGATGAGTCAGAGTAGCAGACATGTACAGACATTTAGGATCTCCACTCTAGAGATCCATATCAGCACACCATGTTGCATCTGTGGTCTAAATATACATGGTAGGCCGAAACCATGATTCTTATTTTTGCATTTTGTCTGCCTGACTAAAATATGTTGGTGTAATTTTACCTGCAGTTTTGTTGTAATGATAATAGTGAATTTAAAACAAGTGTAATTGCCATGTGCATAGCAGCACGCATCTCATAGCTGAGCTATAGGTTTTTGTTAAAGATTCTTTAAATGTGTTATAAATATGCATTAACCAAAATATGCAGTGAGGTGGACATTGTACAGCTGAAAAATATTGTCAGTGCTGTCTGGTTGACAAACTGTGTAACAGTGTCATTTAACATTTCAAATCCGGTGGCCCAGTTGTTGTATCTGTTTACCTCTAAGATGGCCAGGCAAAACAAAAACATTCAATCAGTATACAGTATGACAGACTCGGGTTTCATTAACTGGCTCACTCATCAAAAGTTTATTTACCTTTTGGGGGTGTCCAATCAATTCTTCAAGATCAACATGTTGTCACCAGGGTGTGAGAAAACAACATCTGGCAGGAATTATTCTGCTTGGTGTGCACATGCCAGGTTGAATTTCTAGTGGAAATGTTGCAGTGGCCAGATTAAATGTACTGAAAGTAGACAACTCTCAACAATTCCGGAATAATTTATATGGCGCTACAGTGCCTGACCTGGTTCTTGTGTGAGTTGCCCCGTTTACACTGCCCATTCATGGTGGGATTATTGTGCCAGTTTTCCACTACACCGTTCTGTATAAAAGATACCAAGCCAGCATGGGGGGGGGGTCACTGTTGTCCATCCTTTATTCTGCCACAAGAGGTAGTAAAATTGGCACAGCCATTCTACCTCAGCCTCTGTAAAACGGGAGATGTAGCTTAGGGGACTATGAGCAAAGGTGTGTGATGTTTTGATGAAGTGCTCTTTCTGGTACCTACTGCTGGGAGATTTAAATTGTAATGTTGCTTATAAGAAACAGTCATGTAAAAAGAACACAGGGCAGTATTATGCCAGCTTTTTGTAATTTGACATAAGTAGGAATTGCTGCAATAAAGGGGCCAGTTTACCACCAATATAGCAAAATCTCTATGTAAAAGAGGTTAGTGCCAGTGCAAGGTATTCACTCAGTAGGAGGAGGCTGCTGTGAACTATTAAACAAGGTTGGTTTAATGACCTAATATCATATAAAGGGTTTGTGTTTGAAAGTCCTAAAAGTACCAATCTTTTCAGGATTCAGTGGACAGTGTGGTTAGATGACTGGCTACACAGGCCCAACGCTTGGAGCATGGAGGAGCAGTTGTCCACTAGGCCACTCTATTAGCACCTTTTGGAAAGAGACTCTATGCTTTCTTTGGCTAATCCACTCATCTCACTGACAGAGTAGGGAAGAGGCAACAGCATTGTGCCACATATTTTAAAGTAGGGGGTACTGTCTAGAACATGGATCATCAACTGGTGGCCCACGGGCCACATTCACCCCACCAAAGCTTTCCATCCGGCCCACCGCATACTAATGAAATCAGAAAATATGAAGAGGGAAATTAATGTGTTCTGGTATTTAGAATAACTAAAATGTTTCTCTTCCAAAGCCACAAAAACAATTCAGATGGAAATAATTTTATTAGGAATGGTCTACTGACCCCAAAATCTGTGCGTTCAACCCGTGGGTTCTAAAGAAGTTATAAATACATCTGTCAGCTTATCATTTGCAAGTAGCCTGCACAAACTGATGCAGGAGTCAAGCATACATCCTTCCTCACTTACAAAGCTTTGCTTGCTCTGCTGGTTGCACACTGAATAGCAGTAGCCTAGGATTAGTTTTAGACACTGTGAGAAATACAAGGGGTCTCGGGAGTGTTTTTACAATAACACAATAAAAATATATTTAATCATGTTGTTATTAGTTAGTGATTGTCTGCCAGAAGTAGATTGTGGTCCGTGGGAGCGTGCAGGCCGTTAAACGCATTGCCCACTTACACTTACAGCTGTTTTTGTCATGGTCAAACAGTCATAAAATACAAAATATACACAATGTATCCCTGTGGTAGTAGCAAATGTATGTCTTTGTGAAACGTGAACATTTGAAGAAATTATAAATGAACAGTAAGTGAAGTCTGCAGGGTATTTGTTATTTACCATGGCTCTTGAGCTGCTTTTGCTGTGTTAGTTTGTGCAGTAGTGTGTAAATATTATATATGGATTTGGTGCCGGCTGGAGTCCACTGGCTTGTGGTATTCACAAACTAGCAGTCCAAGAGCACATGTTGAATGTACAGGCATCGATCTCAGCGTATGCTAGTTTGTTTACAGTCAGATGCATTAACCCATTACGCTCCAGCCAGATCTTCATGACCTGATTGGTTTATGTTATTTTCCTCATCTCCTATTTGTCTTAACTTGCTGCCATTGTAAATAATAATAATAATCCCTTTTATTTGGCCAAGTATGTTACACACACACAAGGAATTTGTTTCCAGTAGGGAACCGAGGCAGCCATCTGCAGCGCCAACTCACACCAATGGCTCTAACCATCGGGGGCAACTTAGGGGTTCAGTGTCTTGCCCAAGGACACTTTGACATGTGGACTGTAGGCACCGTGATTTGAACCTCCAACCCTCAGGCTGGGAGACGGCGTTCTACCCACTGAACCACAGTCGCCCCCATGGAAAGACAGGAATGATAAAACTGATTTGTAATATGATGGTATGGCAAGATGGGCTCTTAGGTCTTTTGATTGTTCTTTCTCAACAAAACAGAAAAACTGTGAGCATCGTCTCATCAATACAGTGGCCTGAACCCTCCACAGCACATTCCATGTCTGGGTCTGCATGCTTGTTGAGAGTATATTTACTGGTCATGTTATGAAAACAGGAAGAGGCCCTCTAATTATTAGATATTAATTAAAACCTGTCTGAAGTGTTGCTGATAATTTTGACTATAATGTGAGTAGCATATGCTGTAATTAGAAATACCAGTTTCTAAATATCTGAAATGTAAGAGTATAATTTTGAAGACTGATGAGGCTTATAAGACCCAGTTACATCTAATTGGTCAGAGTGATACAAGAAGTTGCTGTGGAGATTGTTCTGACAGATTCTTTTTTTCCTGTGGTATGAATAATAAGGGATGAAGTTACATCATTTACTGAAAATGACATTTTTGGAACAACCTCCATCTGGTCTGTGGCGATTCAGTGAAAAATCCTAAAAAATGTCAAGGCAAACAAAAGCACATAGAGGATAAGTCATGATAGAAAATAATTAATAATTCCCAGTTAATCTTAGACCCTACATCTTTAGAGTTTCCTGTCCCCTTGTTTGGGAAACAAACATGAATAAATGCAAATTGTGGCTATGTATCACAGTTGAAAAGCTGATATCATACAAGTGCAATCTGACAGGCTAATACCACAACATGTTAAGTTTTTGACAATTTTTTTACGACATGAAATGCCTGTGTTGTGATTGTACTGTATGCGATTGTGAACTTAAGAAATAGCTGACATTTAACTCAAGTTGATTGGTTTCAAAACTCACAAGCTGCTTGGAGTGATTTTATAATAACGCAGCATGTTGCTAGTTTTCCTTCACTGTCCTGTCCTGTTTTGTTTTATGAATCTAAAAGCTGTGGACATATTACAATGTCATAAAATAATATAAATATAGCTAAGGTACATTATTACTTTGAAGCCCTACTCTTTAGGTTTAACAGTATATTAGGAGCTATTATCAGGCCAGCAGTGAATTGGTCACGTTTGTCTGGTTCATGCACCTGTGTCTATACTAGAGTAACCCAACTGCTGAACAGTAAAATAACCTGCCAAAATCCAGTATACAGGGGGGCAACTGACTTCCATTTTTGATTTGGTTTGTCTTTACATCTTGCGGCCAATGGCCATAGTGCCCCCGCCAGAAGTCCTATGGGATTACACAGCTATCGTCTTCCTAGTTTATATAATCCTTCAAAGCAATGATAGAAATGAAACCCTGCAACATTCCCTTTTTCATCAAACCAAGAGAAGTAATGTGACAACAGTCACAGGGGAGATTCTAAGCCCCTCGTTTGCCTTAATTGATATAATGAATGGCATGTGTTTTCAGCCTCCATAGTTTGGTAATTGCCTTTTTTAACACCCATCAATGGGTGCAGTGGAATGATGGAAGACAATAATACTTTTGAGTGCAAATGTGGCTGACAGTAACAAGAAGGATTCCCTGTATTCATAATTAGCTAGCGGATGTTATAAAAACATTTTATGTGGAATCAATGAAATGTGTAATTCCTTTTAGAATCATGTTTTTCTCTACTAGTTTCCTTTTCTAGATTTTTGATTGTCTTTCTTTTCTTTACATGTCAAATATCGTGAGTGAATGGAATGAATTACAAATTAAATAATAATGATAATGATCATCTCTATTGTTGTCAGTTTTGCTGATGCTTTACAGTACAGTATTACAGGACCAGAAGCTGGCTAATAATCCTTCTTTTCTTGTCCTGCAGACTTGAGGATCAGACGAAAAAGCTCCACAAGGATATGAAGAAAAGCACTGAGGCTGATTTAGGTGTGTTCTGCCACCAGCCTGTGTGTTAATGTTTGGTGTGCCATTGATCTACACTTGTTCACCAACATATTTGATGTTGCTTGGCAGGTTTTTCAGGGCTAGAAAGACGTCGTGGTTGTCTTGGTTTGTTTGGTGGTGCGTCAGCTCTCTGAACAACTCAACAAATGAGACAAGGGCTTGTGAGCCTCCGCCTTAATCTTCTTTCATAGGTTTTTCTAGGCTATCATAGTGTATGTGCTTTGGATATATGAGTGTATGTTTTTGTGCAATCTTTAGCTAAGGCTCTATTTGTCTACCATCGCTGCCTTCATTTATTCATGGATTTGTCGGCCACAGAAACCATGTTTACTCTGCTTTTTATTTGCTTATTTGTTGGTTATAGAGTTGTGTATTTGGGAAGTAACAGTAGACATGGCCTGTGGTAAGTAGTCACTTGTGGGGGTGGAGGAGCGGGGACAGATAGAGAAGTGAGAGGCTTCTTCATTTCCTCTCCTTTGTGCTCTGGAATATGGATGTCTCCATCATCAAAGTAGCTGTCAGGGCCTCATTACCGTTAATGGATTCCATCTGTTGCACAGGTCCTGTCTCCACCAACTGCTACCAAACAAAGAACTGGACCCGCTCTGCATGTCAGCACTGCATTTAATAACACTGCTTTCTATATCGACCATCATTTATCAAGTCAGGGGTGGTGATATGCAGAGCTCTTTTGAACTTGCTGACAATTAGTTGGTGAGGGATGATAATATCTTTTAAGGGCTTATGCTAAGTAACAGAAGGCAAAGAAAGTGGCAGAAATAGCTGTGCTTTTTATACTGAAAATTTGTTAATCTTAGGTGATCACAGGGGACACAAGCTTCCCATTTTGGCACATGACTAGTATAAATAATAAAATTACTGCCATCAGCTCGCTTTTTGATTTTCATGACCCTGTAATCAACATGTCTCCTAGTCTCATCAGATAAAGTCAAATCAAGCAGTTTATTACTTGTCAAATGTAGAGAGATGCAGAAATGCCACACTGTGATAATTGTTTGGTTGAAAATTGGTCTTACCGATGGGGTGTGAAAAGAGACAAGTGACTGTTCCAGATTTTCATGATGGCATTTTCACCACAGCCTCTCTTTTCAGTGTGTCTCTTCAATGTAGCTCATTTATTTTGGCATTGAAGCCATAATCTGATATGTGTGCTGTGTCTAAACAAAGTGGCATGAGTACAGATTAACAGTAATTGGTGCTGTCAGTGTAGAAACCTTGCAAAGATTCTTGTTACTCTGGTGAATATTCAACACGGCAGGCAGCCCCACCACCCCCTCAGATTTTTACAATGGGGGCAGCACTGTGTCATTCTACTTCTGGTGGTGTTCTGTTGCAAGAGCTCACTTTTGAAGACCCTACCACATATGAGCACACACAGTTAAAACACTTAAAAGCCTTTGTTTAATCCACAAAAATAGTCTCTGTGGTTAAAGAATTGTTGTTGAATTGGATTAGGTTGTGTTGGCACAGACGTGTAGACAAGAACATCTTTAGTAACCGTCTATAATCAACATTGTCTTTAACAGTACCCTGTACCCTTTTCTTTAACAGTAGCCTGAGTTTTTGTGTGTGTGTGTGTCTGGCAGCCATGTCCAAAGCAGCAGTGAAGATCTCTGCTGATTTGCTGAGCAACCCACTGTGTGAGCAGGACCAGGCCTTCTTAGAGTCCATGGCTGCTCTAGATACAGCCATGAGAAGGATGGACGCCTTCAACCAGGAGAAGGTCAGACCCCTCCGTCCTTGAAATTTCCAGTGTGCTCGCTTACTTTTTTGCCGTCTTTCTGTACTGTTTTGTTTTTTTTTTTGTTGTTGTTGTTGTTGTTGTTGTTGTTGTTTTTAGATATTTGCCACTGGTATTAGTTTGGTATCAGGGGAAATGTCTTTCCTCACACATACAAAGTGGGTACTAGGCAAGTTTCTGTTGAAAATTCATGTTTTCATATTTGTCAATATTGTGCAGCCTGTGGACTAAAAACTATCCGTATGTCTTTCCTTCTGCTGTTTTTGAAAAGCATCTGTGGCATCATCCACTATAAGCTGAAGCTACTGGTTATCATCTGTGAAAATTGATGCATTTGTGACTCACTGGCTCTAAAATAACTCACACAATGAAAAGGCCTTTTCTCAACATTAAAATAAGCCCTACCACAAAATTCATAGAAATAAATCTGTTCACAGCTTGTGTAGTGAACAAGTCTGTTTGTGCTTGCATTACTTTTTGAGGCAAACATTTGGCTTCAGATTGACACATAATAAGCGCCTAAAATCCACCCTGCAGCATTACATTTCTGTCAGTAACACTAGAAACGGAAGAAAACCCAGGGAATCACTAAAGTTTCAGACCATACCAACAGACTGACAGACGCCGCTACTTTGGCTAAAATATGGGTCATTCTCCAACGTTTCTTCTCTTATTTCACTTTTTTTGTTTGTGTTTTCTTATTAGGTTGTTGATTTTGAGTGTGTTTCTCATAATCTTTGCATATTTCGCTCTCGTAAGTTACATCCTGTGGGGAGGCTGTAGATATGCAGACCTTTCATTCCAGAACTGGAAACAGTACAGCAGCCCGCTCTCTTACAGCTGTACTTTGTGAAGATCCCTTCACTAACTGTCAATTTTATTCAGATTATTTGCTAGGTGCACTTCAGTTTTTGATTAGAATCATTGCCACAGGTAGTTATAATGTGAATCATAGTGGCACCGCATGTGTGCATCCTCAAGGCACTACACTGTGAAGGGTAGACTTTTAAAGAAGAAAAACTACAGGAGATCGCAGTAAGGCATATACCGATTGACTTTTTTCCATCTGTGTTTTTTGACTCATTGCCCTGCTGTTAGGTGTTCTGGGCTTTTCATATGTGTTGCCTTAAAAATATTCCCCTTTCTTTTCACATTTTGTTGTGAACCAGAATGATCTCATAACCTTTACACCAGCAATGATCCAAAAAGATGGAGAAAAGGAATGCCTTACTGAAAGGTGGATGCTTGTTTTTTTTGTTTTTTGTTTTTTTTTTCTTCGTGGTAAAACTAGTGTAGTATCTCAGGAATAGCATACCATCTGGAAATGTATTAGGCTGAGAAGACATGATTTATATCACATGAACTGGACTCAGTTTCCAGAGAATATCAAACCATAATCTCTTCGCCAAGATATGTGATTGAAGCAGTATCCATACTACAACCAAGCTCTCATAGACATATTTTGAGATTCTTTTATTATTAAAACTAAGTGTATCAGTTTTTAAATGAGCATAATATCTGATTATTATGAGTTGATGGGAAAAGTCTTATGAAAAAGTATCCTGAATCCTGTATTTGTGTTTTAGGTGTCATGCCATGTCATGATCTATCTTTCTACTTTGATAGAAAGGAAAATTACTGTATTGTGTATAAAATATGCTAATGGTGCAGGATGGAGTTTAACAACTTCAGTGTAGCAGTCATTTTATCATTTTAGTTTGTCCCTTTCTTCTTCAGTTTCAACAAACCCATCTTTTAGACCGGCTTTGCTCACAGCTCATCAAATTTTACAGGAGCCATTTTGAGTGACTAGACAAAGTAGAATGTGGGTTGGACTGAGCATGTGGGTTTGTGGCCCGGTGTGCGTTTGTTCCAGGACTTGGCTTGGTCGAGTGCCCAGGAGAGCACTCCTGCCAGTTTGACTGTTTTCAGGAGAGAGTAACTTTTACATTCTTGAGATTTTATAATATCTCAAATTAGCTTTTTTCACCGTCTTAAAATTCAGACCTGAGGAAAAATTTTAACCAGTGCTGCTATGCACACTTGACTGTCAACAGATAAGTGATGATGCGTACTCTAAATCCACCTTTCTTTCCACATCATTTGAGGACCATGAAACTACACTTCTTCAGCGTTGGACTGCTCTGTGTTTCCTCCTGGCTTCAGCTGTAATCTTTATTTCTGCCAAACCTGGGAGGTCAGGCTCTACTAGGTGCCTACATCAACTCAGTCATTTCTGACTTCTCATTTAATATGATTGTGTATTTTCACATTTTAAGCTGCCTGTAGTAGCAAATGGTGAAATTTATCTTTATAGGAGTGAATCTATTTTCTGGCTCTATGGTGTGTAGTTTTCCTGTTTGGATCTGTGACTAGGTTGTGTTTGAAACTGATTCAGCCAGTCACTTTGGTCTCAGCACAGTTTCTCACTTTTGGAGGACAACAGTCACCAACTGTATTGATGTAGTTGTATTTTTTTAAACACACTTTCATCCTGAGTGGAGTTTGACAGCTAGGTCACACCAGATTTGCTCTGCACTTCTTTCAGTCTTAGTAGATAAAAATCATTGCCTTAACACAAATTTCAGTTCCAGGTTTGAGCTGAGCTGTGTGTCTCTTTTTGTACAGTGGCTGAAGTTGAGCTAAAGGCAGAACAGTGATTGTGAGTGCTTTTTGGTCAGTCTGCTATGTGAAATATCACTTCAGGTTTGCTGGGTGTTTAATATCCAGCACAGCTCACTCAAATGCTTCACCAGCTTCTCCCTTCAAGCTGACTGTTGATTCTGACGGCACCGACAGCAAGCCTTATTGCTCCAGCAAAACAGACACAAAAGCATCCACCCTTTGCTCTTCTCCGTGTTGAGACGAGATGTTGTGCCTCAGGGCCCACAAGTGAGAGAGCCAGAAGATAAAACGTGCAGCGATAATGAAGGCAGCAGTGGCCCAGGTCTGTGTGTTTATTTCTGGGGCTGAGGAGGGCGCACAGGCCCGCCGGCACACTGCTGCTGAAGCTGAGCCCCAGCATAGATGGCGGCGGAGCAGTAGAGGATGCTCCGTTTGGAGGGATATTGATTTCCTCTGCGATCTGTGTGTATTTTTGGAAGGCCTGTGTGCCGGGATGGCCTCTGCCCCATGACTCACTGATGGAGACTGCTGCTTGAGCGCCGGCCTCAGGCTCTGCAGTCCCTCAGAGTAATAGCTCTACACCCCCCCCACCCCCCTCTGTGGGAAGGAGCAGAGGGTAGAGGGCACCAGCATGCTTAAGCAAATCTGCCGATGTTGTTCTCCCTCCTCGCTGCATGCTCTCACCTTAGAAGCAGCGGTGCAGCTCAAGTGTGTGTGTGTGTGTTTGTGTGTGTGTGTTTTGGGGGGGTGTGAATATGTAAAACAAAGAAAATGTGAATTCCCATGTACTTATTTGTTATTGGTTCTCTGTTTTCCCTCAAACCACAATCAACCATTTTGTACTTGGAAATATGCCTGTGTGAAGCAGTGAGTGTTGTTGTATGTTCTCATAGATGGTCAGGGCATTTTTACAAACCACAGCTGCGATCTCGCTTCCTTCTTGTTGTGTGATTGACTGTCCTTCCAATAGCGAGTGAACATATGATTAGTGGAGCTGCTCACTGTTCTCATGCAGCTGTCACTTCAAATTTCGCTGCTCGCAATTCGTCTTCACTGCTCTTAGTGTTTGTTCTTTACTTGACATGATTACCTGTTACCTTAGCATTCTGCTATGCTAAAGTCTAGGTATAGTGGTATCGGTCATTTGCAATGTAAATGATGCCGAAAACTTTCTTAATTGTGTGCCAACTTTTGTCGATGAGATTTGGTGCTGAGGCTGGAGGCCTCAAGATGAGATGTTGATTTACTTCAATTTACAACCCCCCACCCCCCACCCCCCAAAATTCCACT